CATTTCATTAAGTGCTCCACAGCTGTCAGCTTTCTCTAAGCACAAGAGTCACGGCTATGCAGACAGGTACAGACCCCGTAACATGGGAATAGGGCATAATCTTTCCAATCTTCATCAGAACATGCAAGACCAAAGAACCCACAAAAACATCAGCTCCATGGCTGCCTCTTTGGTTTTGCACAGCCTGTGAGTAGGTGAACTATAGGAAAGGATGATTTGCCTTCTTTGGTCAGCAGCCCTTGAGATGCTTTGCTTGAGCATCGTTGCTCAGAAGTATCATCTTAAAAAGCTGAGCAAACACCCACAAGAAACAGTGAGCTGCATTTGTGGGGACTCACATCTAACTTGCCACACTTTGCTCTACAGCACATAAAGGAAAACCGCAAATATGTTGGTCTTTGTCATTGAGAAACAATTCTCACCAACCCTAAAGATCAGATCACCCACTAGGAAAGAATTTTAATTGCCAGAACACAACCTTTCAGATAGAGCAATACCCCTCTGCACTCACTCCTGCCTTCCCCACTGAGCCAGATGATATGCTGGCTCAGGTAGTCCCCATCCCCAAAAATTCTATTTTAGTTTCATCTTTGCCTTATATTCACTCCCCAAAGCCAAGAACTGCTGCTTCACCCCCTCCTTAAAAAAACAAATAGCAGCAGCTCTGCCCAAGAATGGAAGACAATGCTAAATCACAGTCCCTCCCTTTGCCCTTTGTTAATCACAGACAGAAAGAGCCTCTTAAACTCCATCGTAACATAAGGGAGATGGAAAAGGAGCTGAACTCCAGTTCAGTGTGACTTGTCTCTGATTCACACCACTTCTTTCTCCTCTAAAGCAGGCTTCCAGTGCTGATGGAAGTGAATAAAACCCTCTCGCTTCAGGACAGTACTTCACAAACCTCAAAAGCAAGGAAACCGCAGTTCTAGAAGCCATAACAGTATTTCAGGGTTTGTTTTTTTTTTTCCAGAAAATTATATGTAACCTACTTGGGAGCTTAACCTCACAGAGCTATCATCTCTTAGTACCTCAGGCTGCAATGAATACATGTATACACTGGTAAAGCAGTCAAAGGACAACAGTGACAAACTGGACTTCACTTGACCTAGGCACAGGCAGGATGCATCCAGGGCAGGGAGCAGAGGACAGCATTGATATCCCCTGTCATCTGCACCCCCAGTTCAGGTCCGTACACACTCGACCCTCCCCACCCACTCTGCAGCTGCCTCCATGGACCCATAAACTCCCCAACCCATGGGAAGCCTCCCTGCCTTGAACACCTGCTTCATCCTACCTCTGCCATGCTGATGTGCTCCTCTTCCCTTTCCTTTCTGTGGTGTCAGGCAGGAAAAGCTCACAGGCTGAGCGCGGAGGAGAGGGAGCAGCTGCTGCCAAACCTCAGAGCTGTGGGGTGGAATGAGGTGGAAGGCAGAGACGCCATCTTCAAAGAGTTCCACTTCAAGGACTTCAACCGGGTATGAGGATTGGTGGTAGAGTTTTATAACGCTGGAGACTTGGTTTGCAGAGCAGGGAGTCACATCTGCAAGGCTGAGCCAAAGAAACCCCTCCATGTTTCTCCTGAAATGTAATGGCTGAGCAAGATAACCTGCCCAAGACACCAAAGTGCTTGACCCAGCACACCGTTTGTCTGGGAAAAGCTCCCCTAAAACAGGAAAATCCAACAAAGATACAGAACATCCCAGGCCTTGCATTTGGTTGGGTTACCTAGAAATACGTAGTGTAAAATCAATAGCAATGGGGTGAAAACCAGCATATTGCAAGGTAGGTGGTCCAGAGCTAACTTTTCTTCTCACTCCACTGGGCAGGCCTTTGGCTTCATGACCAGAGTGGCTCTACAGGCAGAAAAACTGGATCACCACCCCGAATGGTTCAATGTGTACAATAAGGTAAGGAAGAGGGATGGTGGGGGCAGCCAGAGCTCTTCAGGGAACACATCCTTTTCGTGAGGCATAAAACAGCAGCAACAAATCCTGTTCAGGAAAGAAAACCTCCTTCTTAGATGCCATTACCTTGGTATATCACAGACAGCCTACAGCCGTCACCCACAGAACCTTCCCTTCCCCTTTTTTGACCTATCCAGCTGAACAGAAGCTGCCTGTAGGCTGGCACCAAGGTCATTTTTTAAAAATCAGTATCAGAAGTAGCAGCAAAGGGAAAAGCTTCTGGAGAAAGAGCAAGTTGAAAAGTGGGCACAACTGGCTGCTGTGACCGAGGCAGGGGTGGCAGTGACAGCCTGTGGCCAAGACAAGCTGTAGGAAAGAAAAAAACAGGCAAAATGCCAGACCACCTCTCCCACCCCAGGAAATTTTGCTAACAAGTTTGGACAAAGCAATAGTGCCACCTGCCTCATCAGATGCGAACTGTCTGCATCACTGGGGGAAATGGTTCCTGCTCTCTGTCAGCAACGCTTGGTGGGTTGGTCTGTCTGTATGCTTTAGGTTCACATCACCTTGAGCACCCACGAGTGCGGAGGCTTATCGGAGCGAGACATCAACTTGGCCAGCTTCATCGAGCAGGTTGCAGCTTCTCTCTCCTGAGTAGAGAGAGACATGAAGCCAAAAATCATCTCCGCCGCTGCCGCAACCTGCGTCTCACCTGGATGGCTGCACCTACAGCCTCCTTCCACTTCAAAGCTAGTTCCTGGCTCCAGACCACCTACCGCCATGCCAAACTCCCTGCTGCAGCTCAGATGGATGGAGGCGTTTCTTGGGCTCCATGCATATATCTATCTCTGCTCTCGCCGCTTTCATTCTTAAACCCTTCGTTAGCTGTGTGCTGCCAGGCCTCAAACCACTGAGCCACTGGGGCTTTAAGCAGCCCTTTTACCAGGAGTCACGTTACACAATTCCACCAGTAAATCCTTCCAGAGCCTGACCCCATCCAGCCACTGTGCTATTGCTTCTTTACCTACCAGAATACGCTTTCTGCCCCAAACGTGGTACGTGAACCCTTTAGTTTCTCTGTAACATACCCGCAACTGTGACGTGCAATTTGGTTATTACTGTAACCTCTCTCTAGCAGTATTATAAGCAGGCACATGATTTCACCCTTATTGTAACCAGCCTTTAGTAGGATACCAACTGAAAATGTTTACAATAAAGATCTTGGTTAACCTGATGTCAAGTTTGGAAGGATGCCTCACTGTCAAAACTATGCCAACAGGTTTTCCCAAGGCAGGTACAGGCCTGATGGCTCTCAGGAAGGTGCTCCTGCCATGGAAAAGCTTCCTAATGAAGCACCGCAGAGAAATGGCATGTGCCTTCACAGGCCTGCACCTCAAAGCGAACGGTGTCTGAAAGAGAATGAGATTATCAAAGCTAGAGCAGATCGGATAACAACTGCTTGTGCTAAAATCACAAGTGTACCATAGCCAAGGCACAACCAAAAGGTACAAAAGCATCACAAGAAATAAGCCAGGGGCTTCTTAAGGTGAGATGCCTCCCAAAAGAGGTTGTAGGTGGATTTGGCAGTGGAAGATCTTCACTCCAGTAACACAATGATCTTGGCAGTCAGGGAATCTGCAGCCAAATTGCTGCATTTTCAGTACAACAGGAAAAATTAGCTGTGAAATCAATACTAGTTGCTTTCAGCAAAACAGTCTGGGAGAAACACTACAAACACCCAATTCAGATCCTTTTGTCTTCATTTTTTAACCCTTAAAGTTCTGTAAAGTATTAAGACAAAATCCATAGCTCTCAAATGACAATTTTTAGCATCCTTGAACATCACACACAAGATGTAGCCATAGACACCACCTTTGTCTTGACAGAATGAAAAAGCAGCCCTCGGGCAGAGTTAGTAAGATTCATAAACCATCCTCCCCACCACAGACTAGGCTGTGCATAAGCAAAGACCAGGAGCAATAGCTCCCCATTCATTCAAAGGAGCATTAAAACAGAAAAACAAGAGTTCAATAAGCCTAGACAGGTAAATGCACCATTTTAATATAAACTAGGCCCATTTTCACCCTCTCTTCAGCTATTTCAGCCTAGAGTTTTACAGTGGCAAATGAGAGCAATACAGGATACTGCCATCAGATGAACTCGTCCCACTTGTTCATTAAAAAGTCCATGTGTATTTATTGGGCAAGATACTGTGTTGCACGCAACCCTTTCACTCCCTCCTCCTCGAAGTAATCAGAAAAGCGCAGATGAAATCCATGGCATGAAGACTCATCTCTTCTTCGTGCATCCCACTAGATATTCTTCAGTCTAGTACCTAAGAGCATGTAAATCCCTCGGGAGTGCTTTGTACAAGCAACCAATTTCACGTCTTGCTTGGAAAACCTGACAGCCAGAAATCTTGCAGGAATTAATAGTTGCAAAGATCCCTCCAGGTCTGAAGTACCATCCAGTTTCAGATCATAATCCAGTCCATAAAATTCCTCTTTGTTTTGTTTTTTAAATAATTATACAGCCTATTAATCGCACCGTTTTCCTAAGACCATTTGGCATGATAAAGGAGATGCAGATTACATGTTAGATGACAAGGGTGAATAAAGACTACACACTGGTAAATTACAGTGACCTATTCCTGACCAGATTACATTTACAGTATAGAACAAATATACATAGAACAGTTAAACCCACAAATATTAAGTGAAGCCCAAAATAGAATACATTGACTCACAAATAACATCTTCAAACATATCCAAAAACCTGAAATGGAGCACTGATCTGTTAGATCCCCCTTCTTCCTTGGAGGAGAATGCAACCAGGGAAGAGAAGATAATTTCTCTCTCCCTTGTCCAACTCCAACCTACCCCCTCTTTCTTTTAAAGCAGAAACAAAGAGTACCTCCCTTTTTTTGTTTTTTAAATCTTGGTTCCAAAGAGAACCATCACAGTAGCCAGACACTTAAGACTGTCTCCAAAATACAGCAAACTCAGAGATGCAGTAATGGTCACATTAACAGAATAAATAGGTCCAACATAAATGCTGATTGCCAGAGCTGGCAACATCATCAAGAGACTATCAGGCAATCAAACGCTATGCTTTCAAAAGGGCTGAGAGACATGCATAGAGTCATCAGTTTAAGGGCAGATGGCCAAAATACTTTTGTCTCCTAGCACTGAGAATAAACCTGTTAAAAAAACAAGTATTCCTCCCACAATCACAGAGGCCAAGGCTGCACTGGTGTGCAGTGGCTGGTAAGTAACCTTCTAATTCAGTGTAATTATTGTGCAAGTGTGTGCTTCAGCTGTGGTAAGCCAGTGAGGGTCACGTTAGGGCTAACAAGCCCACTACAGCAGAGAGACAGATGCCTTCAGACGCCCTGCACAAGATGCTGCAGATGTGGCACAAAGTCTTCTCCCAAGTGTTGAACTCTGCCCAGGAAACCATTGGTAGCAGGCAAAAAGCTGAGAGGAAACACATGGGTAAGCCCTGCAGGAGTAACTCCACCACTGTTTAATGACTCAGGAGATTCTAGCTTCTCCTTAAGGCCACAACTGCCTCACAAATCGCATTGGGAAAGCTTTCTCAACACAAAAACAGTGGAGAAAAATAGGAAGGATGAGCCACATGCCCAAGGCTTGAATACCTCCAACTTGCTGCATCCTATCATCTACCTCTCAGAGCTACAGCAGCATCTTTGTAATACTGTGAAGGGGACCTGGGTCAACACAACGACTATTCTACCTTGTAGGCAAGCACACTTTCTCTGAGGCCTGTCTGTTTTTCTTCACAATAGTACCATAAGGAAACGACCACAGCAAATGCTGCAGTCAACAGTTGAACCCTCAAACCCTTCCTGGTATCCCACAAAAAAGGCCAGAGAAGCATCAAGGCACAATGGTGAATGCCCTTTTGAGAATGTGCCTTAAAAGAATCAGTGCAAAGAGCAAAGATTACTACTATTACAAAAATCACCCTTTTATACTAAAAGACCATGGTAAAAAAAGGTCAGCTTTGGTGCCATCCGTTTGCACACGAAGTCCCAGGCCATGACACACACCAGGGCCTGACTCTACTACAGCATGGTGAGATAGTGCAAAACCTTCAAGTTATGAACAGTGAATTCACTGGTTTGCACATCCCTCCAGAATTGTGCAAGGTACAACAAGCACTCCAGGTGGTAAATGCATGTCTTCTAGAAGAGGCAGGGAAGCAAAACAGATACTATGTATCTCGGATTTTCAGTACCATCCAGTTCCTCTCCCTACACCACCTGCTTGGTTTCTACTTCTGCTGTTATTCAAACCAAGAGATTCCAGAAAAGGATTTTGTGTTGGGTTTTTTCTCCTCTCAGCAGATATTGATTGCAGTCTCACTGAGATCTCCAGAGGGAATTTCAAGAAGAATACATGACCATCTTCCCTTTCCCAATTTATCAGCTCTGCATTACACAGATACAAGGCTCCCAGCACAGTCTGTCAAATGCAGTAGCTTGCAGGAATACTTAAAAGAAAACAAAAAATTCTATTTATTTTCTATCTTCAACTTCTGGGAAGAATGAAGCTTTGGAACACAACATGAGAAGTCAAATCTAACACTTGGCTGGACAGCGGCTGAATACCAGGTCTGAGGAGGAGACACAGCAAGGAATGAAGTGACACACAGAATACCTGAGGAATCTGGAGTTGTGGAATGGAGATTCAACTCACCACCAACAGCCATGATGAAAATAGGCAGGGTGAAGGGAAGAAAAGCCCTAAAACTAAAGTTGGGCATGAAAATAATACAGATTTCAGAACAGACTAAGACAGGGAAGGAAGTTTTCCAGATTGAGCCGCCATCAGACCTGCAATTGTAGGAACAAAGGCTTACTGCAATCTCTTCCCCTAGGAAACCTTTAGAACCACCCCAGAGCTAGCTGGCAAGGCACCAATTGTTGCACTACAGTCAGTGGTGGCTGGGAGAGCCGTTCATGTGCTTTTCACTGCAAGGAACATCCGTGCTGTAGAGGCCGTCCAAGTACGCCTGAGAAATCTCCGCTACCAAGCTCCTGTCTGGGACCGACTGGGCCATTCCATAGATGGCTCCCTAAGCAGAGAAGAGGAAGTCGTTACATAGGATCGCTAATGCCATCAGAGAAATTGCGCTCACCCCAAACGCACCCTCCCTATATGCTAGCCTCCTTACCATGCCTGTGGTCTTGGCTTTGAGGTTCTTCATGATCTCCTCAATGCTGTCTTTGACATCTTTCAGGAACTGTTCAGCAACACCGGGCTTTGTGTGCAACTGTGTAATGCAGAGATGAATGCTGGGCAGAGGAAAGGGGAAAGATTAACCATCTCAGGTATGCACAGCTCCACGTCTTCTGCGCAACTGACAGCGATCTAGTCCTTCCTTGGCCAGCAACAACCATACATCTCCTTAAAATAACATTTTGGTAGTATAATGTGAGAAGATGATCCACTCCATTCCAATTAAAGGCAATAGCTGCAAAATACTTGCTGGAACCAAGCTGCAGAGAGTTCAGCTCTTTTATAAAATGGCAACTCCCCCTTCCTTCCTAATATCACTGTACAGAGTTAAAGGCCTATAATTTTCTTGCCTTATTCCAGGTACCTCTGGTCAGAAGAATGCAGCTGCCTGCAAGCACAGTGATCCTTGCCATCATTTCCCTCTCCAGCTTAAATGAGCCATCAGCATGGAAGTTAGCACCCACCAGAAGGAACGGGGCTACTCACACCTCTGACCTATCCCTTCAGTCTCTCTCGACTTTGCTTAATACTAACTGCAAGTCCAAAATTTTTTCAGTGCAGCTAAATCTGAGAGCATTTGCCCCTTTTACCCACAGAAAAAACAACTACTATCCACTCAAGGAAACTCCCTGACAAACAATCATTTTACACCAGGCTGGAAAGATCACTGAAAATGATCAGCCCTTCACTGTTCTTTTAATTCAAGAAGAGACTAAAAATAAATCAATCTCCAAACCCTCAGTTAGCTAGCATGAGATAAAGCCCTGGCTATTTATATTTTTCTGCTTGTATTAGACAGAGGTAAATAGAAAGGGAGCCTCAGATATGTTCTCTGCCAGGCTCATTAAAATTACTATTGTCTCTGCCTCACTGCAGTAACAATTATAAAAGTAATTCCTTCTCTACAGAGGAAAAGTCTACATACAATTTATCAGATATGGACAACATCATTCAGCAAATCAAGAGAGCTACGTGGCCTGAAGATGACCATCTTGCATACCCTGGCTACACCCATCACTGCACTGGTCTCTGCACACTCACCTTGATGGGAACTGTAGGGCATTTAAGTTCCATCCTTTTGCAGCTAAGAAGTTAGATAATCGATAAATGTCGAAAGTGTCTGAACCGATGGAGATGACAGACACCTCAGGTTTCCCAAGAATGAAGATGCTGTCAATTTTTCTCAACCTGAAAAAGCAAAAGGAAAATAGAAATGACTGATCAGGGTTTCAGGGGCCAGACATTCTGTCCATCTATCTAGACCCTTAAAGGAAAAGCTACAGAAGGGAACCGATGACAGCACATCCATACCAAAAAAAAAAAAAAAAAAATCACACAAAGAGACCAGAGCCCAGGCCTTTGGGACTTGCAAGAGGACTCAAGTCATTAGAGGCCCTAAAGTCAAGCACACTCAGGAAGAAATGGAAAAGAGGGAGGAGGACAGAGCAGCAAGGGAAAACAGAATGGCAAAAAATATCAGCATATCAGCTCCCACAGCAATACAAGCACCCCAATAAAAGATAGTATAACCCTTCTTTCCTCATCCTCAGCAACTCCTTCCTAATTCCCTCTCAGTCATGGTTGAGGCAGAAGAAACTCCCAAAGCAAAGTCAGCTAAATCAAGATGCCTGCCCCCCTCCTCTCAGCACCTCTCAGCTGTCTGGCACAGGGCAGCAACCTGGGCATAAACAAAGCACCTTCTCCCATACCTGCCCGGTGGATCCCCACCCAGCAGGTAACATGCTATAGCTTCTCCAGGGGGAAAGAAAAAGTTGCAAGAGAAACAAAAGCAGTTTGGGAGGAGTCCAGAATGGGGTTAAAGAGTATGATCAAAATGCCAAGGCACGCACGTACTCTGATTCAAGGAAACGAGCCGTTTTAATGATCCTCTTCGTAGCCTCGATGTAGCCTGATTCCCCTATGTGCATCAGAGTCGCCCAGCACGCAGCTATGATTCCACCAGGCCTGGAGCCTGCCACGGAGGGGGAGGCGTATATGCCCCCTTGCCAGTCAGGTGCAATAAAGAACTGGTAGCTCCTGTACTTCTTGTCACTATACAGCACCACCGAGGAGCCCTTGGGAGCATAGCCATACTGCAAGGGACACAGAAAGCATTAAAAAGCAGCAGGAGGACACAAGAACACATTCAAGCGCTCACTGCACACAGTCACCAAAATCCCACTTGCACATACTTTGGCACATTGCACAAAGCATGCGAAAAGGGCAGCCCTTACCCCCGCACTTCAGCACTCCTCCACATAGCAGGGCACAAATGTCTGAAGACATGGATGGCATCGGGAATCACTTGCCAGAAATTAAAGCATTGGAAGACCTTTCTCCCCTCCTTCTTACCTTGTGGGTATCAGCAGAAATGCTGGTCACACCTTTTACACGGAAGTCAAACGGACGCTTTAGAGGGAACCCTGCCTTGTCCATGAAAGCAATGAGAAAACCACCCAGGCAGGCATCCACGTGGAAGGGGATTTTGTACCTCACCGCAAGCTGTGTGTGAACAAGAGATTCTGGTGAGTAACGTGCAATCAGGCAAGAAAACTATGTGGTCGGGGCACCCAAACTCCAGTCACCAAAAGCTGCTCTGCATTTCACAATTAAAGGTTTCCTGGACCCTTTTGGAGCATTGTGCCACTCTCAAGCCACTGAGGATAGGAGAACTTGTGGGATGTCTTCACCTGCCTTCCATGTATTTGAAGTTTGCCAGCAAGAGGAAAAACAACATGGCATTTTGGCAATTTGCTGTACTTGCCAAAGAAATGTGACAACTTGGTCTCAAAGGAGTATCTGCAATAAAGTGTAAGGGCATGATCCAAATGAAAAGAAGGTCAGAGGCCTCAGCTGGTCACATACAAAATAAATAACTGGAGCACAGAGACAAAAATCAAGAGGAGTGCTTGAAAAATAAGATCCCAGCCCTTTGACTCCTACTCCCTCCATGCATTCCTCCAACTTCTGCACCAAGTTTGCTACAGCCAATAGGGTCTAAATCAAAGCCTTTTTACCAGCTCAACTATTTCGCTGTTATATCCCCTCAGATACCAAAGAATTAGTCCTGGTTAGTCTCGCGGTGGGTGCAGCTGAGCTCTAAGTCACATACACAATACATACCTTCAGTTACAGCACAAGTTTGTGGCAGGGACTTCAGAGAGACAAAGCACATGCAAAAGGCTTGCTGCTTTCTCTTGCTATGACACACCACATGCACCAGCTCAAGTCTAAAATCCAGCCCCACACAAACAGCTTTATGACAATGCCCAGAAATAATTTCTGGCATTTAAAGCCCACCTTCTCACAGCAGTCACAGAGTGCAAAAAAAAACAGTCCCATATTCCTTCTCACTTCCAAATTGTGTGCTACATACCCTGCTGTTGGTTAGCACCTTATCTGAGGACAGTAATAGCCCCCCAACCAGTCTGCTCCTCCCTCCAGATTCATTGGTTGGCATCCTGGAACCCCTCTGCTCTTCTTGTACAGAAGGCCATGCTGGTTTTATTGATGAAGCACCCAGAAATCCCAGGGGCACCCTACCTCTGCCACCTCTTCAATTGGGTCCATAATTCCATGCGGGAACTGGGGAGCGGAACAGACCAGCATGGCTGTGTTCTTCGAAATAGCTCTCCTCATTGCCTGAAGATTTAAACAGAGAAGATGCTCACATTCCATTTACCAAGTGCCACCCTGCCAAAAAAGATAAAAAGTGAAAACATGCAGCACCTGGTCTTAAAAAAACAATGCACAAGAGCACATAGAAAGCAAAGCAATGAGCTTCAAGCATCAGCAGACATCAGCTGAGTCATTTAACTCATCCACTTGGAAATACTAGAACACTTTTGCTCATCCCCATCTGAAATCTGGGGCTGTTTCTGAAATACATAAATTATTCAATTCTAAATGAATCACACAGGACAAAGTATTTCAAACAAAACCTCATCTGTAATGATAGGCACTTACTCCTGCCATTTTCCCCAATTTCCAGGAAGGATTCATCCCTCTCCATCCACTGACTTGCTGCCTAAATAGGTAGATTTCTTGCTATTTGCTGTACCACACTAATTTCCCACAGAAAGAATGCCATGCTGCCTAAAATGGTACCTGAACATCCACTTCCATAGCCCTGGTCAGCGGTATGTGAATCAACTTCAGTCCAAAGTAGTGTGCTGCCTTGTCAAATGCTGCGTGAGCGCTCACCGGGACCAACCTAGAAAAGCAACAGGTTGTGTATGTCAACCCAGGCAGCACCTAAGCCTTTACCATGATCAGAAAGGGAAAGAAAAAAAAAAAATCTACTTGTAGATATTTCTGTGTGACAGATCACAAATAGTCTAATTGCATGTTTCAACTAGCCAAAAATCATACAGATTGAAAAAATAAAAAAGTTGGGGAAAATGCTCTCTGGGACAGATGAGAGGCCACGTGCTGTTCTGAACTACAATGATGGACAACATGTCAAACAACCCAGAGAAAACCTATTAAAGTAATTCTATTCCACTGCATGGTCTTCTGTGAACCAAGAACCAAAGTTCCCAAGAAAGTTAAATTCTTGCCATATCAGACAATGTTGTATCATCTCCAACCAGCTGCCCTCCCCAGGAGGGGCATATGATAATACAAAAGGAAAGGAGCAGCATAAATACACCAAAGGAACTACTTGCCATCTCTCATCTCTAATGGCAGTGTCAGATCATCCTTAATTAATCTTCTTTTCTGAAGCATCATATCTTTATCAAGGCCTCTAATAGCATGCAAAAACATTAGAGAGGGAAGAACTGCAGGAATTCAGCAGAGGATGAACACCACAGTGTTGCATCTCTGTTTTCCCCCTGTAAGCAATTAACCAGAGAAACAGTTTTGATGCACTCTCTAAAAAAAAGCAGCACATTAGAGAGAGCAAATCCTCTATTAGCAGTGTAATGATTAGCACAATTCCTCATTTCAGCTCCAACTTTAGTCTCAGAGTTTTCAGGCTAAACCCTCTTTGATCTGAATAAATCAAACCCCTTAAACACTTCAAAGGGCCTGCCAATCTCTGCTCGAGAGGGACCCAAAGCAGAAATGAGCAGGCTCTGTCTAGAGCAGCACACAGGTATTGCCAAAATACATCTTTACGGCATAGCTACTGCAGTCCCCCAGCAACATTCATGCCTCCCAGGCTGCTTAAAGGTTCTTGTGCTTCTGCACCACTTTTTTCGACCCATGTTTCTCTCCTTCTGACACAGATGGACAAGGAAGAGGAGGTAACAAGCTATGAAATGAAGGAATATAGGGGTCTAGCAGCCACCTCCACTCAGAGGAACAATAATTCCCACAAGCTCCCAAAGCCACAGAGGTATTGCTCACATTTCTGGCTGTTTGATGCCTCTCTCGTAAGCCAGGTCCCGGTATGCCTTGCAGGCCATCAGAATGCTCTCAGTCCCACCAGATGTCATCTGTCACAAAAGAAAAGCAGCAAACAAGAAAAACTACTACCTACATAGATGTTGCAGAAGACAAAAGCAAAAAGGGGATGCTGCCACAGCATCTCTGGCCAGAAATGTTTCAGAGGCAAGAGATGAACAGGACCAGCTCAGGTTTTCAAGGGCAACAGAAGGCATTGAAAAGCTCATGGTAACTTTCTGACATTCAGCTTGAAAATGCACATTTAAATAAATGTTGACTTTTCAGTTTAAAGGGGAAGGGGCAAAGGGAAAACAACAACAACAAAAAAATCCAACTCAAAAGCCTGACAAGAGGGGACCATACTGCACAATCACTAGCTGCCAAACATGACTGCTCCTCATGAAACTACTAGTACATACTTAGCTCTTGATTACCCAAGGATTGTTTGTCTAGATTACAGATTAATTATGCCACATACAAGTAAACAACAAAGTTGATCCTGTATTAAGTTAACTGAAGTCCAGCAGGGTTTATTAGGTCTGGAGCAGTGCCATGCTGGGGAACAGAGCCAGCTGAGGGTTGGCACTGCTCCTAAGCTACAAAACCTTCCCAGAACCTGCAGGACTGCAAAGCACAGAGCCCTCTCCTGCATTCTCTCTGCAGAGGCCAGCCTAGGTCTGGTCAACATCAGGCCAGAGCTTGTAAGTCCTCAAAGACCCAAGCAATTTTACACTGGGAGGAACTTCTGCATTACACTCCCCAGCAAGTCCCTCAGTGTCCACACAACCCACCACCCCTGCTGTCCCAGCCCTCTTTACCCGGACCATAGGAAAATGAGGGGTTTGCATCATGAGGTGGAAGAGAGGAAGAGACAAATACAAACAGTTCCATCAAATTTACTATTGCATACTAGAACTCAAGAGCTGTTGCAAATAATAAATGAAACTCTTTACAGGAAGAAACTCCTCAAGTGGAAGGACTGTCTCTTGTCAGCTAGCCTTTATGAGTTCTGACATGCAGGGGACACAAAAGTGTTCAGGCACAAACCTTTCAAAGTAAAATTTTAACCTAGTAAAATGTGAGGCTGTTTTTTCAAGCAGCCTGCAGGACCCACTTACTGCTATGCTGGGTGAACCGTAACTTGAGGATGGGGGGTACCTTGGATACAGAAGTGCAGGTGAAACAGAGGAATCAAAAGCCACTTACAGTGCTTATGAAGGACTAATTTTGATCCTCAGACCTGCTGAGCCAACTGCAACTTCCCTTTTAACCTCTTCTCCAAAAAAATAAAGATAAAAAGGATTCAATCACATTTGCATGCCTTATGACATCTGCTAGTCTGGGTTTTCTTTTGTTTTTTTCCCAGCTGACATAGCTGCAAAACCCCCAAAATGCAAAGAAGTGTGGTTGCATGACAATGACTAAACATTGAGTACACAAAGAACAAAGTTCACAGACACATGAAACAGCCTGCCACATTTGTTCCTAACACAATCCAAGCTAGCAGCAGCGGCTACCACAGGCAGTGTGGAAATTACTGTCACACCACAGACAATTTCTGCTTTTTTGGTAGTTTGTAAAGCAACAGCTGTCACAGAAATACCCTAACAGAGACTCACACTGGAAAAAGAAATTGTTGCATCTGCTGTGAAGCAAATACATGGTAGCAGGAACACAATGTCCTAAGCATTTTATGGGCTGTGTCACTCACTTCTCAATCCTTCTTATGAAAAGATCTATGAAGCTGTCAGCTTCTACCTTCAGGAAAAAAAACCAGCTGGTATAACACCGATTGCTTTCCTACTGAGCCCTGGGAGAAGAGGAATGGGATTATTGCATACTTGTAGCACTGCTTGCAACATTGCTTACAATATTGCAATGATTGTGAAAACTTTGGGATTCATGTTACCAAACACCAGACACTTTGTGCCACCAGGCCTGCTCCTTGTTGAGCAAGGAATCCCTACCTCTACTCTCAGGTAAATAATCTGCTCTTCAAAGAGCAGCCTCTCTACAGTCTTATTCCCATTTTGATCTTTTCATCAGAACAACAACATCTTGCCCTTACATATGACAAACACTTCTTCAAAGTCTGGCTTATCACCTGCATGGAAATGCTGAGCCACACACAGTTTTTGGGAGGTCAGAGTCAACAGTTTTCAGCAGTTGGTCAGATGGAGGTTTGGGAACAGTATCCAGGACAGATCCTCCTCCCAGGCACCAACACTGGCAGGCAGATGACCACACAGAAAGCCTGTTCAGGCAGCTGAAAATCCACCCAAAAAGCTGAATTTCAGCCAGATCAGCTTCCTAAATTGGCCAAGAGTCAGCACCTCAGTACCAACATGACTCTCTGCCACAGAGATATGCCAGAGCAGCTTGATCTACAGCAGCACCTTTAGCGTGGCACCGCTATGACAGCAAAAACCCTTTTGGTCCACGTGGTTTGTACCTGCAGAGGGAGTCTGCTCCTCTACAGGAGGCTTTGTCAGCTTAGCTATCAACAGCAAACTCATTCTGCTACAGCCAAGGCTTGAATCACTGTCACAGGGTACAACTTCCCTGGGCATGCTGGCAGCTGGCCAACACGCAGTGATTCAGCACCCGCCAACAGCTCACACAAATATTTTTTTCTCTCCTCTAAATAAAAGTCCAGAGGCTCAAGCGATGCCATGAGGAAAAGGGGCTGGAAACAGGCATTGTTTTAAGCAGCTTTCCAACCCTGTGCTATCTTCAAAAGCCAGATGAAGCATGGGGAAGAAGGCAAGCAAACAATACTTTTTTGTTCTTGATTTATTTATTATTTTCTACATGGGAGAGGAGAGGAGAAAGTACAGGAAAAAATATCCCTCCTGCTTTCTAAATTCTGTATAGCCCTTCTACTGCCCCCCACCTCCAAATCCCAGTGCTCTGGAACCTCAACATTAAAACAGCAGTAAGGGGTAGAGTCCCTACGGTATAATTCCTTCAGCCATGTCACCTGCATGTCACTGTCAAACTGTCAGACATAAAATGACCTTGGTTTGTGTCTAAAGCTTTGTTTGCATTTTCACCTTAGGAAACACATGTTCATTCAGACCCTGGAGACCAAGCTGACCATAAGTTTCACTGAGCTGAACTAGCCTCTGAATAAGAAAATGAACTATAATTTATTTCTAAGGTAACATTATAGTAAAATATATCACTGCATGGTCATAACATAGAGGCAGACTCACATAAAATCCCTGTAAACCTGCAGGTTGTAAATTCCACTAGTTGCCTCTTTCAAGGTGACCTGCTCATCACTACAGATAAAACTTGGCAGATCTGCAGAGTTTAAGCCCCCCTCCAAGACACATCACTCATGTTTCCCTGTTCAAGTCCTACTTCAAATGTACAGCCAGCTCTATGACAAAGTCTGGAAAACCCAGAACTTGGGAGGAAGAGACAAGCCAGCTTCTACAGGAGGCTTAGGCTTGCATCTGTCGATTTTGCCTCTCTCTCCTGTCCTCAGCTGCAAAGTAAGTGCAAAGAAGAATTCACAGAGAGATTGACATCAAATACACACTCACACTCCCCCCCTCCCCCGCAATTTTCCCTGCACTTCAAAACTGCCCTTCTTTTTAAAGTTCAAAAAACTACTAAAAACAAAAAAAATCGTTGAAGCTTGCATAAAAGTGGTGATTTCTCTCCAGATTAGAGGGGAAATCCACAGTGCCAGCACTGCAAAACAAAGCACCCTGTGAAGAGGAAAATACGCACACATGAGACATGAACAAACTCCCCCCATTCCTCCTCGATCTGCTGAGCTTAACTAGTCTTTCTAAATCATTGCAAGAATGTGATTAGAATCTCCCGGGAGCCAAAAATCACTAATTCCTTTCTCTTTGCTCTTGCATAACAGGTTTAAAAGTAAGAACAAAAGTAGTAATTAGTGAGAAATAGGAAGCATCCATCCACTGCTGAAAATGATTACTTTTAAAAACTGCTTAAAAACCTGGAACATCTCTCGGTGCAATTTAAGGCAAAAGGCATGTCTGCACACCCCCCACCAAGGGCATTGTTAGTGATTTTATGCCCACGTTTAAACCAAGAATTATAGCCCCCATGTCTCAAATAAAGGCACCTCCTGTATAATAATGCAAGCTGCTCATCTGATTTAACATTCCTAAATCTAAAAAGACATGTTTCATTTTAGCATTTATTAAACACCAGAAACCTTCAAAGAGGAAGCTCTCCAGGTCCCCTGCTCAGGAAGCTGTCCACATGACAGAGGGCAGGACCACACAGCAATCCCCAGGCTGCGGAAAGCCCTGGGAACGGCACAAATGTGTCACGGTGCTGCTTTTCCCAGACTAAGCAGCAGAGTATTAGCTCCTTAAAGTGCTGTTCTGCAACTTGTCATGGAAATCAGAGCACAAAGGAAGTGAAATTGCCTCACTGAGAAGCAGAGACAGAAACTTTCAGGGTTTTTTCCACACAGCATACACTCTTCAGAAACACCACCAAGCTCCATCTGCCTTCAGGGGCCATCACCAGGCACCAACAAAATTGGACAAGCAGTCCCAGCTGCTTAAATCACATTGGTAAATCCAGTGGACAGAGACCTGGCACTAAACCACACTTCTTCTCAGAAATGGCAGAGACAAAATTAAAAAAAAAAAAAAAATTTGTTTCAGTTTTCAACACTGCAAAAGTTGAACCGAGTAAATCAGAAGCCTTCTTAGTAGAAAATGCCAGCAGCATCTCCTAAACAGATCAATTTAAAGATAACTTACAGCATTGCACCCTCCCTGGTTTAGCCATCTCTGTTTCACAGCCTCACCAATTATTGAGGTGCAACTGCAGCAGCCTGGGCGACCAGCTACAGCAGGGCCTTCCAGAGACAGAAAGCACAGCATCAGTTTGAAAAAAATGCTCTTTTTAAATTACTTTGTAACTGTCCAAGCCTCCAGAAATAATTCTGAAATGCTAGCTCTGTTTTGGGGAGAAGAAAACAAAATAAGCCTTTGAGTCCAACTACTTAAAGAGCACGTGAGCTCCATATATCCACCCACACCTCTCCATCAACGATTAACAACTCTAGACACTTCGCAGTCAGGAAGGACAACATGGGAGGAAGACAAAAAGTCCACTGGAGAGACTCGTTTAGACAAGATAATTACAGGGATGCAATTAATCTTCTGTTTCTGGCCAATCAACTTTTTAACCCTCCCTCTCACCCTGCAAATTTGACTGTTCAACCAGCTAGAATGTGACTCCACAGCAGGTTGCACGCCTCCCCAGTTGTTTTGCTTCTGCTTGAACCTCATCTGTGGCTTTGCAGCACAGCCCTTGGAAGGGAGGGGAAGAAGAAAGGAGCAGAGGGAAAAGCAGGATCCCCCTGAGAGCATCTGTGGAGGTCTCACATTGGAAGCAATCCCTGTCTGATTGTTTTGGACCTGTTTTTTTCACCCATTCTGAACCTTGTCTCTTAGGCAATTCTACTTTTAAATTTCGGTGAAAGAGCACACAGGGCCAGGGTTGACGCTTTTACAACAAACACTTCAGGTAACAAAAACTGAGCACACATGTTGCAAGCTTCAGCAAAGTTCTCCAAGGATACAGTAAGTGTCACAGAGCTATCTGACTGCTGTATCAGTCAGCATCTCAACTGTTGATAAAGATGAGCTTCAACAGCTTTAAACCCAGCCTCTTCCCCACTCCAGGGACCACCTCAGCAGTGTTCTCAGCACTGCAAACCCGGAAGGAGATGAAGTGAGGTTAAAAGCTTTTTATAAGCAAAGAGACACGTTCCTTCTCTAAATTGGAAGGGGGCACAAGGAATACAGTCCTGAGAAGACAAGTCAGGTCACAGGGCCCAACCTCCTGCTGTCAACAGCATTCACATCTTACACTCCCAGACACTGCACAGTCAAGTTTCATCTTCAACCCAGCTGGAGTTTCATCCCAACTACACCTACTATAAGGCTACTCCAGTACTCACCTCCTTAGCACAACCAAGCCTCCAGCTGTCAGATTAAGCCCATTCACAGACAGTTCATCTCATAAGCTCTCATGTCAACGTTGCCTTCCCATATTGATCCTTGACCATTGCTGGCCTTCTCCCTCCTCAGCATATTTACAGACAGCAACCACCGCAAACTCAGTCTCCGAGAAATCTCATCTGGATACTTCCTACAAATAGAACTACTTTGCAAGTTATTAAGCAGCCCGTTTGTTTCACAGCTGCACCTGACCACCATGCCAAGAGTAAGACCTCAGTGTCCCGTGCACCATGTAAACAGGGAGACAATTTGGCCTAAGAAATTCAGGATCCTTACACCAAAAAGGTCAAGCAAGAGAGAGTAGTGTAAAACAACATGGCTGATTTTTATAACAATAATTCACCATGCAAGTTCACAACTTTTGCTCTTTGACCAACTCTGAAACCATCAATTTAAGCACACACACACCTGGACTCTTGCTAGGAACTCTATCAAGGCTTTAAAACTGGTTTCCACCCTAGCACACTGGAAGGCCACATAAGCCTGGAAAGACAGCTTTCCAGCTGGACAGATGACAATACGTGCCATGCCTGCTTGATCACCAATCCTTCAAGCTGCTTGTTGGTGACCAGACAGACAGCCAGCCTCTTCCTCAATCTTAGCATTCTGGCAGGCTCACAGATTTCCCGTTCAGAGATTAAAACTGAGGGGAGCTACTCAAAGTGACACTGCTCTGTTCACCCGCTGATAACCAGCCAGGCTACATTACACTGCTGCTCTTTTCCAATGGCCATCAAGCCTGCATAATTTAAGAGTGTGAAAAAAAGTTGAAATAAATGGTCCTGTTTAAAGAACTACTTCCCCGAGTTAAACTGACTCTCATAAAGCTTCACCAAGAAGAGCAATTAGCAACTACCTTCTGTACAGTTATGTTGGCAGCAGGGCACATACCAGAATGAGCTTGACCTCAGCCTCAGCTGGTAGCAGAGGGTCCATTTACAGCTAAATCAAAGTCATAAATATCCAAAATGTTCATGGGACACTTGAAGACAGGCTACTTACAGCACCACAAGAGTGAGGGCCCCCATTGAAGAGCGTACAGGCAATCCTCACTACTTCTGCTTCCATCTTCCTCAAACCAGGGAATATATCCGGATGGAGAGGATTACTCCAGGCAAACTCTTCATACACCTTCAGAAAACAAAGACAGAAAGTTAGCCTTGCAGATGAAGCACTAAATTATCAGTGCAAATTTGGGAACTTGCCATACACACTGTATAAGCAAATTAGCAGCATTCAGCTGCAGATCTCCTTGGACTTAACTCCTGCTGCAAGTAAATATCACAAGCTGGGAAGCTATGGCTATGTTTTTCTAAGGCATTCTGGCCTCTGGAGTGATTCTATATCACAATATTTCTTTTTGTAAAGACAGGTTGAATTGTTTAGCTGTTTTCACAAAAAGAACACAATACACACCCCTACAATTGCTTTACACAAAACAGGCCAAAAAACTTACTTTGCAGAACTAGTTTTCAAGTTTACTATTACAGGTTAATTATGAAACAACTAGAAAAGCACAACTGCCCAACCACACCACAACAAAAGTGGCTGTGGAAACCAGTAATTCATGCTGTTCTGCAACTGCGGGCTCACAGGATAAGGCTGGAACAGGCCAGTTCCGACCTCCTGCAGTCGAGATCAAATGTAACCGCAAGGATGTTAAAAGAAAAACCAGCGAATAATCAGCACAGAGGGAATGTTTCCACAACACTCAATCCAAGCTGAGGCCCCTCCAGAAAGGCTGCTCTGAGCTTTATGTTTCCCCAGAAGTGGCAAAGAAAATGTCAACAAACAGAAGAAAACACCAACAGCAACCACCAACACTGCTCATTACAGCTGTTTTAAAAAGTGTTCCCAGGAGCAAGAAGGATAGACTTCCCTTTCTAGCAAAAAAACCTCTTGAAGTAGATAATATTTGAAAACAGACCTTTGGGCTGTTTAGGTTATTTTCCAAACTTGTCAAAGGGAAAAGTTCCTGAGTAGGTAATCAGACCTAACAAAGACAGCACTGAAGCATGGACATGCTCCATTGTTGTAAGATTTGGACTGCCAAAAATCATTTTACAAACTTCTTTTTTGCTTAAACCAAGAGGAATTCCATTTTGTTCAGTGAAGCTGTTCCAGTACAAAGTTCCGCAGCCTCCCAGTAACAGGACAGCCAAGGATCCTTTCACTCCAGCCTATAGCAAAGGCACATCTGTCAGGGCGCTTGCTGAAGCTGATCTATGGCAATTTTACACTTCCTACCATTCCCTGAATTAGAAGGTCAGTGCCAGTTTCCAAGTTCACTTGTAACCAGCTTCACACTTTCTTACTCAAAAAAAATCTCATCTGACTGGATCCTCCTTATCTCTACACAGTGTTCTCGCAGTGACAGTCACTTGGCCAGCTTTACATTGCCCAAATGCTTTGCTAATAATTCCCCTTCCACCTACATTTACCCTAGCCTCTCTTCTCAGAGTTGAGCAGTCTTAGTTTCAGATCTTCCCTATTTATTTTGAAAGATGCTGAAGGGTTTCTGGTCACCCTGGATGCTAAGGATGTCTACAAAGATGCAAAGTCAGACTGCTTGCACTTTACCTTCACTAGCAGACGGGTGAGTTTCTCGTCACCACTGTACACAGTCCCAGAGACCTTCCCATCCTGCCAACGTACGTCTCCTGAAAGAGAAGGAAGAGCATACTGCTTGCAAACACGGCCATTCTCAGAAAGCATGCAGAAGTGCACAGAGAAATGTTCCCACCAGCTCTGCAGATGAGGATTCATCTTTTGAGATTTCACTGATGAGGAACAAGTATTTGTGTGCCAGAAATAACTTTGTGCAATGCTAAGCCTCTGGCATCGTGTATCCCATGAACTTAGCAAAATGCAAGTAAATGATGACTAAAGACTCTGCACATAAACAACATCTAGCTGCAGCAAGCAGTTATATTAATATGTCATCCACTGAAATCCCCACTCAGTCTCCCCAAACCACTGTCCAGCCAACTGAACTCTAAAGTGGCTAAAGTTAAAGCCCCTTTCAAAGAGCACCCATCAACACCATAAGTTGAGAAGAGATAGAAATGTCAGGCCTGTATTGCTAAAACCTACAGTGCCAGCTGCCTCAATTAAATTTCACCCAAAACGATGTGCCGCTGAAGCTTTAACAAATGAGAGCAGGTGGGTGGAACAGCATCAGCAGCACACCCTGCTGAAAAGTGTTTCAACCCACTGCACAACGTGATGGAACTTAACCAACTAACTTCCTGCTTCCAAACACCCCAGCAGTGGTGTATTCCCACTTCTTTGGCTATCTGCTCCCTTTCCTGTTAGCCTCCTTCATAAAACTCAACAGCATCAGCTTCACAAGCATATGTAAGGTGAACACAGTCACAACCCAACCCTCATTTCCCAAACAACTTTCAAAGGGGCGTGCACAAGTGTGGGATGGAGGGGGCCACAGGAAAAGAAAAAAGGAAAGAAGAACTCAGTGAAGGAAGGAAATAGTCATTTGAGGGAAAGCACAGACAGAAGACACACAAGCAACACATAAAAGCAGAAAAGAAGGAAGCTGTTATAGGATACTTCACTGCAAAACTGTTTGTTTCTGAATTTGGAGCAGATGCACTGCTGTAGCAGAAAATTCAAGGCATTTCTCAAATCTGGGATAGGAGCAGGGCTCCTCTGCACAGCAAGTCACCCAGATTTGCTCGTTAGGAGCATAGGTAAATGAATCAGGGTGGAGATATTTACATGAGTGAGGCAACACAAATTAAGTTTCAGATACTGCTTATCTGGACTCAAGCCAGGAGAAGCACATCATGACTTTGCCTTCCTTAAATGGCATTTTCAAGGTACAAACCATTAAGACTTTGATTCAGAGTGACAGTTTTGGAAACTCCCTAAAAATCCTGCTTGGAAGTTGTGGGGTTTTTTTATTATGAGTATTCTCTGGGGCTTCACAGAAAACACGTTTCTGGTAAAAGTTGAACATCAAGACAACTGCTCAGAAATGTAATAAAAAATGCATTCAAATAATTGCTTCCATATTTCTCTTCTCCTCAGCTCTCCCATCATCAGTCTAGAAGTCTTGGGGAAGGAACAGAATTTCACTGTAAATACCCAAATACAGCCTTAGAAGTCATGAATACCAATCTTGGTCACTTTCAGAAGGAAAGCAGACAAAAATTTGCAAGCAAAGAACATCAGGGAAGAAATATTTAAGATTAAACCATGAGCAGGAGTCATTAGATCTCATTTAAAACTAAGTCTAATGTTAGGTCTATGAAACAGACCCACCTCTGCTGCAGCACAGACTCACACTCATACCTTTTGAGCTGTACTCTTTCATCTTCTCTAGTACTTCAGACTGGCTCATGCCTTGTTCTGGCAGCGCTTTGATATAATCCTTTTCATCTTTCAAGAAGGATAAACTGGAAGTGACATCATTCAAGGCTTCATCAATCTTCCTTTGAATCTAAAAAGAAAGGAAAATCCTATCAACAATGGTGCTGGCCATATTATAAATAATTGTTGACTGCATGCAAGATTGAGCTCACTAGCTACATCCACACTATTGAGCAGAATAGACAGGAAATGTTTCAGCCCCCTGACCAAAAAGCACAGTAGAACTGACAGCAACACAGTTCAACTCTTCTTACCAACCTCTTCCTCCAAAAAACAAGCTGCCTGGAATGGTGAACTGGCATGCACTGGTCTCTAAACCACACTGGGAATTGCCTGTGGGAATGGTAACTGGCACAGCCCAGAACTGGGCCGACTAACCACTATGGGCAATTGCAGGGTGGCACTTGGGCCACTGCTCAGCTGTGTTTCATTTAACAGCACAGACACCACCACTACAACATTCAGAGTACGTTCATTATACTGATGAGTATTACCTGATAAAATAAACTTAAGCCAAAAATACTGCATTTTTATCCACCAAACCTTTTTTAAGTCAGTTTTTAAATTGTGGAAGTCTTCAGCTGCATTCTATTTTGCACCTGGTCTCCTCTGTCATCATACACACAGTTTAGAAACATATGAAAAGAGAGAGAAACAATAAAGAAATCTCCACTACAGGCACAGTGAGGAGATTTCTTTCCTCCCACCCACACCTTACATTCAGGAGGCCCAGACTTCTTCTCACAACACACTCCAAAGTAGAGATTCTTCTTGCAGGCAACACAGGTGTTGGGATATCATCAGCTTTAAAGACTTTTGGACATTGGAATGCCTCAAAGTCAAGGCCCCCTGTAAGCAACTGATAGGTTATCAAGTATCAGCCTACCAAAGGGCAGAAACAGTATACAGATAGGACACACAAGGATTCCTCCGGCACAGGGAAACTTAACAGTGCCAGCCCTGAGAAGGCAAGTCTGGACAAAACAGGGACTGCATACAAGAGGCCTGGATGGTGGTGTCCTTTTCTAACAGGAAGACAACAAATATAAGCAGAAGAAAACAAGTCATTAATTCATCTGATCAAGGGCTACTCAAATCAGAAGGTGAAAGCTAGGTCACCTGACATGATAGTGGAAGATGCTAGTCCCTTCCAGAGGGCTGGGGAAGAAACTTGAAAACCGCTTCCACATCCATGGCAAAAGGAAAGTTTCTCTTTGCTACTTTCATTTGACAAAATTGCTTGTAACAGACCTGACTCCCTGAATCGATACATAAATCTTCCAACACATCCAGCAGAAAGAAGAGCAATCATTAAGTGCTCTACCATCATTTACTGGGTAAAAAAAACCAAGCCATGCATTTCTCGATCATTAAGTCGTTACATGCTAAAACACGCTGACATATGTAGTTTCAAGCTTTTATGCAAAAAAATCCCCATCTCCCAAATACTAAAGTCTGTTTCATTTTAATGATTACACAAACTTCCAGTATCTTTGTGTTACAATGCTAACTATGTCTAATAGCTCTAACCTAACCATGGCCAGTCATCTGATTAACAAAATTATCCTTCCATGTTGCACAACAAACACCAGGCTATCTCACACTTGCTGGAAGAATAATACATTGTTTCAAAAGAACAACTCAAGTTCAATCCTGTCCCCTTCCTCCATAAATAAAATTATTTTCTTCCAGTCTAACAAGGAAATGTTACTGGAAAATTCTGCAACTGCACTCCCTGACTCTTGGTTAAAGAAAAAAAAAGGTGGCACCCCCATTTTATGAGAGCAACGCTGCTACAAAAAGACTAGGTAAGAATCATATCTTTCATTAAACCAGGTGGCAGCAGAAGGCCTTCAAGATTTGTATCCTTGGATCATTACAATCACAGTGACATGACAGCAAAGATGCACTGAACTGTAAGTTCTCTGAGAGCATGCTGTGCAGGCTGAAACAAGGACCTGGGACAATATCAAGGAAAGTTGTCCAAATACTTACTATAGTCCCAACAAATGGCATTTTTCTCAGTAGTTTAAAGAACTGTTTTTTAGTTCGAGATGCTAAACCTGAAAGACAAGAGTCAGAAATTAGCCTAATATGACTCAAGAAACAAAAAAACTGACTTGGAGCACAACATTTACGATACAGCCCACAATACAGGCTCTGTATTTCTGACCCAGGCTAAAGTAACACAGTGACCACAGGGACATGGTGAGACAGATTAGCATAGCAAAGAGCAGGGTTCAGAAGTGGAGCCCAGTACAGAAACATCGGGCTTGCAGAGCAGCAGCCATCTATGGGAAACAATAATCTGACTTGTTTTCTTACTTACAAGGGAATTTGCACCCACATGTGGAATTTTACAGGGAAGAGAGGGACGTTAGGATTTGTTACAGGTAAGGGCTCCAGAAAAAAGCAAAAACACTTTTGGAAATTATTTTCTGTATCTTCAAACCAGAATAGTACTGTAACATGAAAACACTCAAGAATATGAAACAGGCTCCCAGACCAAAGGAGGAAATAGTTGAGCCACAAGGTGACAAGGATTCACCGGGTGTCTGGCCATCCGACACAGGAAATGTATGATGCAATGGGAGGCAACTCAGGGGAAAGCGACGGACAGAGGGAAGAGCAGAAATTCCATCACAGTCCAAATACTGCAATGAGAGAAGCCACTGATGACAAACACTGGAAAACTCCCAGAGTAGCTCCAAAGGCAGGAATGAAAGCAGTATGACACAGATGCTTTATAGCCACCAAAAGTGCCTCGAGTCCTACAGGCATTTCAACTGAGCACCAGCAATTGCAAGACAAACCAAAAAAATAACTAAACAAACTTTAAAAATCAACCATTTTAGGACTTCGCAATTTTATCTACATTTCCCCCTTCTGCTTAATATATATTTCACTTCAGATATATTTTGAAAAACTACAGGAGGACAGCAATTAGAGTTTGGCACATTCTGTAGCAAATACTCACTAACACTCCGAAAACAACATTTCTATTGCACATTTTAGTGTGTACAGCTTCACTACGAACTTCCCCAGTGAAAGAAGACTACAAACTCCTGAAAAATTCAGACAAGCTAATTAGATCTCATAACAATTAGTCAATACTTAAAAAAACACTGTGCGACAGTACAAACACTAGCCAAGAAACTAACATAACCCAAGTAAAAGCTTCATACAATTTGTTCCTTCCATAGACATTCCCACTATTCAGCTACTCCTGTCTTTAAAAAGAAAAAAGGCTGCTTGAGAAACAAAGATGGACAGAAGTAAAAGCAAACATCAAGTTAAAAACTCAGGTATAACAAACTGCCACTGTAGTGTAATCCTAAGGCCTCTGGGAACTGCAAACCACCATGTTCTCCTCTGAGGGCAAGGTAGTTATCTCTGACTATCACACAGACAGAAAAAACTGCAGGTTCATCAAAATAGATCTCACTGAAGAGCTGTCAATACCAAAAACTGCTCAAAACAGGAAGATGCCCCAGAAAAAAAAAAAAAAAAAAAATCAACAATACCACATGCAATTATCTTGAACATCCTGAAGATGAAACATGTCTCCTCCCCCAGCTGGAAGAGCAAGAGTTATTCAGACACTTTGCACTAGTGACTAAGTTCACAAGAATCCCGTGCTCAGATAAATTTCTCCAGGTTTTGAGCAAGGAGAGAGTTTTGCAATAAGTAAATGGTTTAGCCAAAAGCAAGAGGGAGGAGTCAAGAGGAAGTGAAGGAGATGCAGGCACGTTCCAGATTGGCCTACCGCACCCTCTGAAAGAATGGGGGTGTTTCATTGACCAGATTGGCCTTGACCTTCATTTGGAAGAGGGTTTTGTCAATACCAGTTGACAGCAGAAAGTCTGCTTTAACAAGTGTTTGGCCTTGTTTCATCCTCCGTCCTCCCTCCCTTCCCCTCAAACATAAGAAAATCCCCCATTTCAAATACTTACTCTCGGACTGAAAGAGGAAGCCATGCAGCCATACACTTAAAAGCGTAGAAGCACACGTCAACCCCACCAGCTGCCAGGGTTCAAGTCCATCGCACTGGGCATTCACAAAGCTCGTTGCTTTCTCCCAATACATCTGGAGGATTTCCTTGTAGGGAATAATGGCATCCTGCGCAGAGGAAAACAAGAATGAGACAGAGAGAAATTCAAATGCACACAAACGGGGCATCAAAAAGTCTATCAGTCTATTGTCTATTAAAAAAGGCTCTGCTCAGGAAAGCAGACCCCATGCTTTCCTTAATCCCTGTAAAGAGAACAGGTAGGAGATAGCTGTCATTCATTTCTAGTCAAGAGCTGCTGATACAAATACACATCTTGAGAGATTTCAAATACTCAACAGAAAAGGGCCAAGGGCAGACAAGTAAGATACGCAAGCTTCGCAGTCCCAAGACTCATCAACAGACCTTAACATGGCCTGCAAGAAGCAAGGAGAAGCAACAGAGTTAATCTCTGTATTTTTTCTAAGAAATGATTAGGTGTCAAGTGAAACCTGAACTACTGCAATACACCCATCTGAGGAGCCACAATTCATCAGGTACCATCAAAATCAGTCTAAGTACTCAGTACTATAGATTTTTTAAGAAGATGTAAATATTCAGCAGCTCCTTAAAGTTTAAGATCTAATTAGCACTTTCCACACAAAGGGAGGACAGAAGAGACAAACACTGCTGCTGCCAAAAAAACCCCAGAAAACTGTGATGCAATAACAATTACAATGTCAAAGTAGCAATTACTGCGGCAAAGAGCCCAAGTACCTCATCAGTATCTTCAAAGCACACTCTCTTCAAGAGTCTCACAAGAACAGGGTAGGGAAAAATGGATGTTCACAAGGGAAAAAGGCCATTTTTCCCCAAAGCAGGGGCCTTCAGTACAACACTCCGGACAAAAGATTTCCAGAGATAAAAAGAATCCAAGTAACCACACCTTGTTTGGAGCTATGACCAAAAATAAGTATTTGGGGTGTTTGTTAGATGTTATAGACAAAAGCTTGTGCATTTTACTTTACTTTTTTTAAAGCTTCTTCAGCCACCCCCAGAGCACTCTTCCCAACCCTACTGCACTTTTAACCTACCGCCAAGCCTAGTTGACCCCAGTTTTGCTGGAGGGTTTTCCAGGGGGATCTTCAAAGCTTCACCCTCCAAACAACAAAGGAAGCACACAGGGCCTTTCAAAAGATTTGATAATACACGTTGGAAGGAATACATCCTTGATACCTATGCTGTTGTGCTCTTGGTGGATTTAAAGAGGCTTGCAAAGGCAGATATAAATAAACCCCTAATTTAAAAGCTGATAAAACTTCCCTTCTCGGCACCCTTTACAGATATCACTTCTGGGTCAAGTCAACAACAGAAGCAGCATTTAACTTTTTTTTAGGACATACTTAGGGGTAATGTCATTTCAATACAACTCAAGAGGCTATAAACAGCCTAAAAAAGCCAAGTTCTTCCAAATAATCAATGGGAAAAGGCAAGATTCCTTACCAAAAAAAACCCTACTAATGAGTATTCACTACTTTTGCAAAGCAGCAAAATGCATATAATGTCAGAGAGTTTAAAAATATTTAAGCAACCCAAACCTAAAGCTTAAAAGTTCCAGTGAAACAACAGTGTCAACCCATCACAGAGGGCTAATATCACCCACATCCCAGCACAGGCTGAAGGACACAGACCAAACTGGGCAAAACCAGGTCTCCTCATAAGGAGAAGCACTCAGCTAAGGGAAGTCAAATTAGCACCCAACCACTCAGCAAAGGGCAATTTAAAAATATACCAGCTACTTCAATCTCGAAAACAAGGCAGCCACATAAACCACTGCAATTAGGCAATGCCCTAGCTAATGCCCAGTCCTCCAATCCAGGCACCACAAAGCTGATTTAACCCCAGAATTCAAAGGAAGAACGGCATTTTCCAACTAACCAGAGGTGGTACTTAAGTTTCACTGAGTTTGCACAATCTCCTCTGAAAAATCCCTGGAAAGATGTGCTTAACCAACAACAGCAACTTTGGTTCATTGGCTCAGAGCTAATGCTGAGATTTCATTCAGTTTTGGAACAGCACTTAAAAGGATGGAAACGGAGCCATGAACATACTGATGTCTCAATAGCCGTTCTCAACTGATTGCAAGAAAATGTTGCAGCATCAAATATAAAGTGGGTTGTGCTTTTTTTTTTTCCTGAAGATAGAGGATACTGTAAGCTATAAGCCCAAAATCAAAACAGAACATGACCTTCTATATAGAAGTCACTTAAGTCAATAGCCAAGTTAAAATTAAATAAATAAATCTGTCCAGAGATCGATCTCGCTCTTGGAGAAAGTTCTGGATGGAAGACCCTAGCCAACTGCACATTTTGTTGTCAAATCACACACTCCTCACTGAAACCACTGCATTCTCCAGCACATCTGCTCTCCACTGGGACAGGAGGAAAAAAATAAGTCAGTTTTTCTAGAACTACAACCAAGACCAGTGGTAAATCTTGCATCCTATCATAGGGATAATGCCCCATATATCCCTGGAGGCATTCAAGGCCAGGCTGGATGGAGCCCTGGGCAGCCTGCTCTAGTGGTTGGCAACCCTGCCCACAGCAGGGGAGTTGAAATTAGATGGTCTTTAAGGTCCTTTTCAACTCAGGCCATTCTATGATAAGCAAACACACCAGAAAGGCCGTCCTGTCCTCTTTTTTCCAAGAGCCCATCCGACCAGTGCTCTGGTCTACAAATTCAGGCTGCTCGACTCTGAATTCCGAGTGATCCCAAGGCAAAGCACAGACGGGACATCTGAGACCCATGACACCACAGTAACACCAGCGTGCTGCTGCACAAAAGTATATTCTCAGCCACATTACCAGCAAAAAAAGGCTCAGGTGCATAATGAAGACATCACAGATGAATGAGCAACATCCACATTTCTACTCTTAGCCTACAGCATATACAAGCCAACATCCCTCCGCCCTGGCTCATTTTTCCATTACTGACATGTAAGACAAAATATTTTACCTTAAGTTTAGCCCAAGCTAGAAGCATGCACAAAAATCTGGGATCACTCCACAAAGAATACAGTTTGACAGGGTAAAGTTTTGTCTGTATTTCTCACTTTCTTCTTCTTCAGGCATTTCAAACTTAAAAGAGTTTGAAGGATGAGATTGTTCAGGCTAGTAGGATACTACAAAGAGGGATTAAAGAAACAGTGACAATTGGCACAGAAGATAAGTTAGCAATGAAATACAATTTCTCACCTCCCTGGCTAACTAAGCACTCAGTGTTTTTAAAGCACCTCTTTGCCTCAAGGTATCCAGCAAGATATGAGGGACTTCTACTTTCAAAATCACTAACAATCCCAGAGAAACCAGAGGGCATTTAGAAGGTCGCATTCAAACTTACTCTGTTTCTATGACACGCAACAACCTGTGATTGCAGCCTCCCTGCTCCAGTCCTACACAGTTTCCTTATGTTACAGGGAGGCAGCAGAGGTAATAAATATACTGCCGACATTCAGCCAAGACATTTGAAACTCTTCCCCTGCAGCCCTGAAGGAACTGCTCATAACGGAGTAAAAAAAAAAAAAAAAAAAAAGGGGGTTTTTTCCAATTGACCTCGGACAAAAGAAAAGTTCATCACACACATTAGCTGGGCTAAAGACAACAAGCTGGCCTGATTTTATGCCTATCTACAGGACAGAGTTTCATGTAAGACAATAACCTGTTTATTTGTGAAAGCCTCAAAAAAATAAATGTTTCCTCTCCCTTTATAGGAGAGTAGATAAGCTGGTTTTATTTCCTTACGAGAACCTTCCCCCAACAAAAGCTTCACAAGACACAGGATTATTTCAGAAGCAGTTTAAAAACCTGATTTATGAGCACACTAAAAAGCACAGGGGAAAAATCTCTACTGGAAGATTTGTTTTTAATTCTCAGACCATTAAGACAGACTCAGGTATCAGACAAGATACCAATTGCTATCATTAGGACTTGCAGTGTTCATTTGTACCGATATTAATGCACTCAGCAACCCAAGCAGTTTACGTATTGAATTTTTAGCTCCACAGATTAGGAATAAATCCCTAGTACTGTATTTCTAAAGGCCATTAGCTAGCTGAGCTGATTCCAGGGATAGCACTTATGCCACTACAAAAGAGGACAAATTAACTGCAGTAATGCTCTTCTGTCCCAGATGACAGAAAAGAAAGAGGTGTAGAAAAAATGCCAAAGCTAAGGAGAGCACATTTTGCAGTTTTGCCAGAACAGTATTTCCTCAGCTGTGAGGTTTAGGACTCAAATAAGCTTTAAAAAGAGAAAGAAAGGAAAAAAAAGAGAGAGAAACAGAAAGGCAAAAAAATTGGAGAATCTCACACTTTTGTTACAAGTGCCTGCTGTTTCATACACTGTAAAGTGGAAGCACTATTAAAGTTTACTTGTGGGAAGAGTAGAAAGAAAGGTTTTATCAGCAGAATCTTCCTTCCCCCAGGAGAGTGTTTAAAGTGAGCCTCAGAATAAAAGTAGCTTTTAAAGGCAAGTTTATTTTAAGCACTAGCATGAGTCTCGGGCCCACTGTGCAAGCAGGAACTGCTAAGATCAAACCACATCCTCAGCTTTCACCCGAATCCATACATTTTCCCAAACCAGGGACCCTCTGATCACCTCCCTGTGTCCAAACATCAACATTTGCGTTTGCCATTTGTCTTTCCTCACTTCAACAGAGCTGATGAATGAGGCAGCGTGTCGCACAACTCAGCATGTAGTAAATCAAGGCAGAGCGAGATTGCTCATAGCGACTGCACAAGCTAGGTAAACCCTGATTAAGGTAACACGAGGAATACAGGTATTGCCACTGTAATTAAGGCCTGTTGCTACTATGCAACAAGTTTTTTCCAGGAGAAGGCTTCCTGACTGAAAATAAACCGCACAAACCCAGCAATGATACAGTAGCTTTGCTTATTTATTCTGCTCCCAAGAAAAAGGAAGACTTCAATTACCTATGCCTTAACTAACACCTTGTTGCCAGTACAGGCTCTGGCCACAAAAGGCACGCCAGAATGGCATAACTACGCAGCATAACTGGCTTACCCACAGGTAAATACTGGACTTGCAGCCTTCAGCCTTTCCTACCGGAAAGAC